ACTAAGAGAAGCTCTGCCCAGAGGACGTCCATTCCACCTCCCTAACCTGGAAGTGATTCATGCCACTGCCTTGTGCCACCCTTCCTCCCTTCTCTTCCTCTCTCTCTCTCTCCCCATCCCACCCCCGCCCCCCCCCCCCGACAGCAGCGGCTCTCTAGAGTAAAAAAGAGACAACGATTTTCCACCTAGTCCTCGTTGCGTTTTCAGTATGGGCAAAAATAGATGGCGGCACTATTATGTCAACGCCTCAGTTCGGACTTGGCTGTCGTCAGGGGGGGATCGGCTGTCTAGTTTTCAAGTGATTCTGGTTGAAAACCCAGCAGTCTCTCTCTCTCCCCCCCCTTTTTTTTCCCAGGGTGAGAGAGTCTAAATATATATATATATATAAAAGGGGGGGGAGAGGTTGAAATCTGCTCTCTCAGAGTTTCCTTTTGGTATCACCAGTCCTAATTACTCCACTGACTTTCCTGTTGTTTGGCAAGGCTTACAGAGCTGGAAAGCTCCCTAATAACACAGCTCCGTTGGCTGCCCGTGTCATTAACTTCTAATTTATTTAAAAGGAGGGGGAAGAGAGAGAGAAAAAAAACAAAAAAAAAAGCCCTACTTATGCTCCGGGCCGCTCAGAGCCAATCACATGAGTCACCGCCTTACGTCGCCATCCCGGGCCGCTCTCATTTGCTGAGCCGCGCTTACTCAACTTCCCCAAAGGAGGAAACAGCCAGAAGTCTCCCCAAAAAGGGGAGGGAAAAAAAAAAAGTCGGTCTGTTGTCGGGGGGCTGAAGCGAGCGGAGGTGGTGCGTCCAGGAGCGCCTGAGCGAGAGATTGATTGGGAGGTCTGGACTCGGGAACAAGAGGAGGAGGAGGAGGAGGAGAAGAAAAAAGGCGGAGGAGGCGGCAGCGGCTGCTGCGGCGGCGGCAGCGGCGGCGGCGGCGGCGAGACGAAGGGCGGCTGCTTCTCTACGCAGGGATCTTTTGCGAAGCTGCGCCGAGATGTCTTCTCCTCCTTCCAAAGCCAAGGAGGTTTTCTCCTCGGACGAAGAGGGCCCCGCCGCTGGGGCCGAGGATCGCCACAAAGTCAAGGTCTCCAGTTTGCCGTTCAGCGTGGAGGCGCTGATGTCCGACAAGAAGCCGCTCCGAGAAGCCAGCGGAAGCCTGGAAGGGGCTGGCTTGGGTACTTCTAGGAACCTGCTCTTGCCCGCTCACGTCTCCAGGGAAGCGCCCAGCCCCGGCGGCCTTACAAAAACCTTCGAGACCTCGTCGGTGAAGTCCGAAAACTCCGAGGATGGCTCGTCCTGGATCCCAGAGGCCGGCAGATACTCCCCTCCCCCAAGTGAGTGCTTTAGCCCGGGGGGGGGGGGAAGGGTCGAAGGGCGCTGGTAGAATGAAGTGGGGAGACCAAGTCAGCGGTGGGTGTGATTGTGTGTGTGTGATTGTGTGTGTGTGTGATTGTGGCTTCACCCCCTTCTGCCCCTACAGAACTCTAGTAGAATGAAGTGGGGAGACCAAGTCAGCGGTGGGTGTGATTGTGTGTGTGTGATTGTGTGTGTGTGTGATTGTGGCTTCACCCCCTTCTGCCCCTACAGAACTCTAGTAGAATGAAGTGGGGAGACCAAGTCAGCGGTGTGTGTGATTGTGTGTGTGTGTG